GACGGATATTGCCCATTTTCGCACCTACCCTAGCACTGACGCAAATATTAGGATTTGCAAAGACGGAGCCAAATCGGATTATCTTTTCTCTATCTGTGCAGTAAAATATTTTTTTGGAAAATTTTGAAGTTTTGTGGGGGAGGTGCAAAAAGCAGTGGACCGATATTGCCCATTTCCGAACTCAATCTATGTTTGATAATAATATTACGATATACCAAGTTTCGACTAAATCGAATACTCCTTTCGAGAGTTATCGCGCGCTCTAGCCAGACAGACGGACAACTGTTCAGGGTGAGCTAAAAAGCTGCAACAAAGTCAAACGACATAATTTTTACATTTTTTTTAAATTTTATTGAATGAAAGCAAAAAAAATGTCGAAAATAGCACCAAATTTTAGAATAAGTTTAGATTTGTTCGAATTGGTCACCTTTGGCACGAATTATCGCCCTCAAACGGCCAATGAAACCGTCACACGCTGTCCGAATGTTGCTCTGCGGTATTTTGGCCATTTCCGCCGAAGTGCTTGCTTGAGGTGATCGATACTTTGGTATTTTTTAGTGCCAATCTTGCTTTCCAAAATACTCCAGACACAATGAAATGGAAATGAAGCGAGGAACCTCATTTTGTAACCATTCTTGGCTGTGTGCGATAGTGCTGAGTCCTGTTGGAATGTCCAAGGTCTGCGGCCAAAATGTTTGCGTGCCCAAGGCTTTAATACACCCTCCAGAATATTTTCGCGATTATATTCGGCATTTATTCTGATGCCACGGTCGATTAATACACCATCACCATGAGTTCTGGTGCACATTTTTAACTGACCCCGAAGGTGCACATTTTTAACTGACCTCTTTGGCAAGTAAAGAAGACCATTTTGAATCTATTTTCTTTCTGTTGTGGTGTAAGTTCATTTTTCAATATTTGACGAATGGATTATTGCGATATGTACAGCTCACGAGCCATTTTTCGGCCACTGCGACGCGTGTTTCGATCAAGTCGCTTTTTTACTTTTCGAACCATTTCTGCTGATGTTGCTTTTTTATTTCGTCCACTTTCTTGACGTCGGGTTATGCTACCAGTATCACGGTAACGAGCGATTGTACGAGACGAGATTTATTCACATTTAAATGCTGGAGTGCTCTAACGATAGCCACTTGTGGTTTTCCAGCCAAATATAAAGAAATCACACTATCACGCTTAAATTCGATCACGAATAACTTTTTTTCTGGAAAATTCTGATCAAAATGCTTTTGTACGCTTGTAAACAATATAATGCGCTGTCACTGGAATAATTTTAACAGCTGTCGGACGAGTGGTTTGGAAATGACAGCAGTCTGAAGTTGGTTGCAGTTTTTTCATATCAACTCCAAATGTCCTGAAATGGATTTGGCCCAAATAGACCTAAGGTCTATTATCATTATTTCGATGAGGCACGTTTTGGGAATATATAATGTAGTCATATGGTTGAGGGTATAAAAACACAAATTTATAGCTCAATTTATAAACCAAAAATTAATTTCAAATCGGTGTACTAGTCTATTATTTTACCTAGGGCCTGTCACACGAAATAAGTACTTATTTCTTGGCAGTCATTAAATCGACAAATAAGTAATTATTGTTTGACTATTACAAAGAATAGCTACATATTTATGGTACTATTTGAAGCCATGATGCAACTAGTTATTTCGTGTGACATATACTTCATAAAATAATGGATAAGTAATCCGATTTGTAATGAGTTTTTATGCTGAAGTGTTTTAAAGGTCACCAAAAAATATTCATAAAAATCATTTATTCAAAGAACTCAAAACATGGATTATTAAACAATAAAATAGGTTCGCTTAAAGTCGCTGTTAACAACATTTCAATCTGATATTACTTCATTCTCCTCAAATACAACTTGCTGTGAATCGAGCTAATCGGCAAGACAAACTGTCAGTTGTTCGTGGCATTAAGCAAATAATAATAAATGCAGACATCTATTAACTAAGAGAAGACAAAAAAAAAAACGTTGCTAACATAAATTGTATGGTTCTGCATCAGCAACTCAGATGACAGTCGTTTAGGTTTTCTTTCGTCTTCTTCTTATTTCTTGGCGAATGTCTTTGAGCAAAGATTTGCAATGGCAACAATCACGAATGAAATCCAGAGAGGAAAAGCATTGTTGGCTGAATGATAACATGCGAGTGGATTGAACCTTACAGTTACGTTTTGTGAACATCAAAACGACATAATATTACATGGATTATAGTTTTTTTCATTTGTGGCACAGTGGGTCGAAAAATATTTTTGTGGTAGATGTAATATAACTGAGAGTGTTATATCCAAAAACAGAGATAAAAGCTAACATTTTTAAACAGACCTTAAAATAAACTGGACTCTTATATACTTTATTTATCAAATTGAACTACCCCATAAGAATTGAAGCACCCTTAAACCAAACGTGCTGAGATACAATTGGCTAGAATCCTTTATGAACCCAAGATCAGGTAGTAAGACTAAGTATATCGGTCCACTCCTGGTACCTCCCCCACAAAAGGTCAAAATATATTGAATATCCATTAAGCTCATAAAACGGAATTAACATCCGATTCCATTTAGACTTGGTACTTCTTAATTTTTCTATAAACACAGGATCTGTTATAAAAACGATAGAGATCGAACATTCCTTCTGGTACCTCCCTCACAAAGGCTCAAAATTGTAATCCTCCTCACACGAAAGGTCGAAATTTGGAAGTTTATTAACCTCATAAAAAGCGAAATCAACATCCGATTCTATTCCAGACTTGGTACATCTCAATATTTCCATCAACACAAGATCTGTTACATAGATGGTAGAGATCGGGCAATTTCTTCTGGAACCTCCACCAAATAGGGTTCAAGATTTTTAAAAACAAAACGCTCAAAGAAAGCGAAATAAGTATGCAACATTCTATTTCACTCATACAAACATTTTTGATAAAAAATATCTGCTGTGAAGATGATATATATCTGCGAACCCCTTCTGGTACCTCACCCACAATGGGTCAACATTTTCAATATTTTTATCGGAAATATAAAATATTTCTAAATATATCTCTCAACCAGAAACTTGAGATGAATATGGAAATTATGATTTCGCATAAAATTGGATATAAGTTTTAGATTTTCTTGTAATTTTGCCCATACCAATATTTGTATCTGCATACGACAAATAAAAAAACGGTGAGTTCGGCTGGGCCCAACTTTGAATATCCTCTACCATTTGGAACGAATTTGAAAATTAAAAAAAAAATAAATAAATAAATAAATAAAATCCGTTAAAAATCTATTACAATGTGAAAAAATACGGAATATAGCCGTTATATTGGGGTCTGCATAGGGAACGTTTGTCATTAGCCATAACAATATTCAAATAGGAAACTTGAAAAAAAATGTAGCTAAAATCACTAAAATACCCAATATAGGGAGGTACCATCATATAGGGGCTATACTAAGACCTGGACCAGTGTAAACAATTCTCTGTCACAGACTGTAGTACCTATTAGGAACTTCAAACACGAAATTTAAAATATTGTACCTAAAAATAAAATATTGTATCAAAATACCAAATATAGGAAGGTAATGATATATGGGGCCTTAACGAAGACCTGGACCTGCATAGACAATACTCTGGCATAGACATTAAGAACTCTAAATACGAAATTTGAAACAACTTCGGTGAATAATGTCGCTAAAATCATTAAAACATCGAATATTGGGAAATACCGTTACATGGAGGCTAAACGAAGACGTGTCCTGCATACCCATTTTTTGTCATAAGCTGTAGTACCCATTACGAATTCTAAATACGAAATTTGAAACAACTCCAGTGAATAATGTCTCTAAAATCATCAAAATATCGAATATCTGGGGATAACGTTGTATGTGGCATATACGATATCGTGGACCTATATAGACACTTCTCTTCCAGGGGGGTAAAGTGCTTAGAAAAAACTTCTAGTATGGATTTTTCGACAATTCCATTGTAAAATGCTTCGCTATATTAATATCTAAATTCCTTATACATGGAAGTACTATTATATGGGGGATATACGATATCCTAGACCTATATTCAAAATACTTTTTGAGGGGGTAAAGTATTCAGAAGCAACTCCTTTTGTAGATTTTCAGAAAATTTCATTGAAAATTTTGGCTACAATCATCAAAATACCGAATATCGGGGGGCACTGTTATATGGGGGGTATCGTGGACCTAAAGAACCCATCTTCGAACTTGATCTGCCTGCAGATAAAAGACTGCTTCCAACCTTTATTCGTTTTTACTCTAGCGTGACGGATGGATAGACGAACATGGCTAAATCGTGTTAGAATTTTACGCTGGTCAAGAATATATATACTTTATAAAAATGAGGAAAATCTTAAAATAAAATCTTTAATGCACGCCAGCAATGAACGTTTATTCTAATTATTGATTCTGAAAATATTTTGTTTTTTATTTCTCAAAACAATAAATACATACACAAAATTGGCAGAAGCCGGGCACACTTAGAAAAATAATTGTAATCTGCTGCTAGCTCTACCTTAACTTTTTATTGTACCATGGGTTAGTCAGTATGAAATCAAAAAGTTCCCCTGTAAGCCAGATTTAATATACCTCAGTTTCGTAGAGATTTATTTAAGTCACATTACTAACTTCTAAGTCCCAATTACGAACTAACCAATTTTTTTCAACATTTTGCCCACTGTGCATCCTATTATCAAACAAATAAAAAACATCTACAATTGCGACCGACCATATCACTAACATCGTTTCCCATTCGATGTGGTAAGGTGGCTTCTGTATTCACCTGAAGGTGCTGGAGCTGCTGCTCCTCCAGCCAACCAAGCGCAAGCATTTGCTGCCGCACTTCAATAACCAAGCATTGGGAAGGCGCTGCAAGCATGTGCAGCCGCTGTGTGGTGTCTCGCCATGCTTGGTTATACAAGTCTCGAAGAAATTTTCATTAAAACAAGATCTCTAACTTGGCCAACGGTTTAGTCGGCAAAAGAAAGTCTAGCGTAATGTTTGCACAGGAAAACTGAAAAGCGAAGCGAAAGATTGGACGCGGAAAAGTTCGTGGTGTTAGTTCGAAATAGATTCAAGCGAAAAAATAAAAACAAATCTTAAAACGAAAACCACCAACATGGCCCAGAGAAATGCCATGGCTGCAGACAAAATAAAAATAAAACATAATTTGAGTTATTACCGTGGTTGTTGTTGTTGGTTTGTTGTAAGTTAAAAAAAGTTAAAAACATAATGAAAACTAAAACATTTAGGCAATTATTTAGCATAAACTAGGTTGGAGAGCTCATCTGAATTCATAACAAATGTTAACACAAGAGAGCTCTTAATTATTTAACTATTTTAAATTTGTTGGCAACAAATGAAGAAATTAAAAAAAAAAAAAAAAAACAAAAATAAAATATTTGAATATGATGCAAAATATTTAAAAATTACGAAAAAAGAAACGGCACGAACCCTTAAATGTGATTATGAAATTGTGGGTGGGTTGTCTGTGAAAACCCCAGTTTATGTGTTGACTAACCAAAAAACCCCATGTTTTTAAAGCAACAATTATTACACAATTGGGGATTTAAAAAAATATATATTGGAGTTGGATCGAAAATCTAAAACAACTATTTGAGTGAAAGTGATATATGCCAACAATGATCTAGATTTCTTACGGCAGTGCTTTGTTCCCGAAACTGGTTATACTCTATCCTTTAAATAAACGGTTTTGAAATGATAAATAAAAATAAACGAGTATGGAGAGTACGGCCGATCCGTACTTTTTATACTTTACACTAATGAAATCAATGGAAACATTCATTGTCATTGGAGAGCTACATATCTAATTACAGGCAATTTAGATGCAATATTAAAAAACCAGTAAAGAAGACCATAAGTCGGCCGGGCCGACTATATGATGCCCTATATCACTATGCATATTTTGTGGAGTTACTGGTAGCAAATAAACATTTATATTGGGAATTTATGTGAAGCAGATCAAAGCCATTACGATGGATTCGTATTATGGCCTTAGAGCAACACTGAATAGAATTCCACCAAATTTGACGGAGGCATTTGTACATCCAGTACCACTTCGAGGATTATACTCAAAAAAAAAAAAAAAAAAAAAAATCGAACAAATATAAATTTATTCTAAAACTTGACGCTATTTCCGACATTTTTTGGTTCCATTCAATAAAATTAAAAAAATTTAATTTTTACATTTTTGGCGTTTGACTTTGTTGCAGTTGTTTTATCTCACCCTGTATATATATATATATATATATATATATATATATATATATATATATATATATATATATATATATATATATATATATATATATATATATATTTAAAAATTAATTTTTTTTAATTTTATTGAATGGAACCAAAAAATGTCGGAAATAGCATCACATTTTAGAATAAGTTTAGATTTGTTCGAATTGGTCACCTTTGGCACCAATGATGGCCTTCAAATGGCCAATGAAACCGTCACACGCTGTCCGTATGTTGGTCTGGGGTTTTTTGGCCCATTCCCGGCGAAGCGCTTGCTTGAGGTGATCGACACTTTGGTATTTTTTAGTGCCAACCTTGCTTTAGGAAATACTACAGACACAGGAACCTGATTTTGTAACCTTTCTTGGGTGGCGCGTGCTGAGTGCGATGGTGTTGAGTGCTGTTGGAATGTCCAAGGTCCGTGGCCAAAATGTTTGCGTGTCCAAGTCTTTAATACACCCTCCAGAATATTTTCCATTTATTCTGATGCCACGGTCGATTAATACAAGCCGAGAGCGACCATCGGCTATTATGGCAGCCCACACCATCACCATGGCCGGCGCTTGAGTTCTGGTGGCCAACCGAAGGTGCACATTTACAGCTGACCTCGAATGTTTTCTCTTCGGAGAAAACCAAATTCGGCAGTTTACCACTTTGGGCCAAGCGAAGCAACTCTTTAGCTCTTTTGAGTCTATTTTCTTTTTGTTGCGGTGTAAGTTCTTGCACTTTTTGGAATTTAATAGGTTTCACCCCGAGTTCATTTTTTAATATTTGCCGAATGAAATATTGCGATATGTTCAGCTCACCAGCCATTTTTCGGCCACTGCGACGCGGGATTCGATCAAGTCACTTCGTTACTTATCGAACCATTTCCGCAGATGTTGCTGTTTTCTTCCGTCCACTTCCTCGACGTGGGGCTCAGATCAGATGAAACATATGTATGGGATATCTGAACCGATTTTCACCAAATTTAAAGCACTTGCTAAATTCGGTCGAATATTCCGAAATACATCCTGTTTGAATGAATATTACAAATATGGCGCACAATAAAACTTAAAGCAGACGAATGTATGTGGGAGCTATATCTAAGTTTAGAACGATTATCGACAATTTTTATACGGTTCATCGAAGCAAATAATTTGTGGAAAATTTCAATTCAATCGTGCAATAAATGCGACTTTGTTTACAAAAAATACATGGACGGACATGCATCAATCGACTCAAAATGTGATTCTATGAAGATCATCAAATGGAACTATGGGTCTATTTCGTTTCCCTCTGCATGTCTCAAACAAATGCACCAAGACATAATACCCTGTAACACAGTGTGGCGTAGGATATAAAAAATGTAAATACGGGGAGCGCAGGTCCGAACCACATCCAAAATTACCATTTCTCTGAAGGAGTGGACAGATGTATCCCATCTTCCCAGCAGATTTTGTGTTAGTAGAAATATTGTGATGTGTGTAATTTGAAGCCAGACGGACAGGCGGCTTAGGTCCGAAGAGACCTAGGGTCTAAATCGTTATTCCGACTGAGCACGTTTTGACCGTATCAAATGATATATACCCTATCTAGCCATATGGCTGAGGGTATAAAAATCCCGATAACCCCAATTTTTGGAGGTTTTGCAATAAAAGGATATAGAAGTCCGGGTCTACTGAATTTAACTTCTAGCTTAGTTTCTTTTTGGTAATATAATAATGTATGTGTCCCAGGAGTTGCTCGAACGGATTTCGGATTCCGTCCAAAGAGACCTAGGGTCTATAACCGTTATTTCTACGAGGCAAGTTTTGACCGCATCAATGTGAAAATATTTTATCAAATATATTCTTGCTACACAGTGAAAAGATGCTTATATTCTTTTGTGACATTTAGTGCAATTTTCATAAACTAACTTAGAATACGGCTTTAATCCTAAAATGTGTTTTAATACCCTCCACCATAGTATATTCAAAATATATATTTTAGATCCCACAAAGTATATACCGTTCGTCTGTCTGTCTGTCTGTCCGTCTGTGGAAATCACTCCCGATTCCGAAAAAAATGAAGAAGGTTGATAAAACTTTAATCAGATGTGTGATTGGTCTGAAGTTTTTTTTTTTTTTTTTTTTTTTTTTGTGGGGTATTGAAAATATGTCTATAGTTATATGGGTCCAAGTTTTGGTATAGCCCTTATATATCTAAACCGGCAGATTAAGGTTTTTTGGATGTCTTAATCAAAAATTCAACCCCAATTTTCTGTAAATTGGCAGTATTAGTATGTTCCTATTATGCTAGACACATCCATAGAATAGAACCACCAGTACCAGTACAACAAGTATTTTTCAACAATTTTTTTTTGAAAAATTTTGTGGAGGTTATTTAAAGTTCGGTCCGACCAAACTTACTGATTTTTATATATAGGCTTAATCTCATAGTTGGAGTTCTTAATCATACTTTGAAAAAAAAAGACCTCTTTGTTGACTCGTATTGTAGTTAGTTATATTAATGAAGACATTATATAGGGTGAGATAAAACAAAACTGCAACAGAATTCTGACTGCTGTCATTTCTAAGCCACTCGTCCGAAAGCTGTTAAAATTATTCCAGTAACAGCTCATTATATTGTTTACAAGCGTACAAAAGCATTTTGTAGAGAATTTTCCAGAAAAAAAGTTATTCGTGATGTAATTCAAGCGGGATAGTGTGATTTCTTTATATTTGGCTGGAAAACCACAAGTGGCTATCGTTAGAGCACTCCAGCATTTAAATGTGAATAAATCTTTTGTGTCTCGTACCATCGCTCGTTACCGTGATACTGTTAGCGTAGCCCGGCGTCAAGAAAGTGGACGGAAGAAAACAACGGCAGCAGCAGATATGGTTTGAAAAGTAAAGAAGCGACTTGATCGAAACCCGCTTCACTGTGGCACATGGCCCGTGAGCTGAACATATCGCAATATTCCATTCGGCATATATTGAAAAATAAGCTCGGGGTAAAGCCGTTGAAGTTACAAAAAGCGCAAGAGATTTAGATTTAAAAGAGCTAAAGAGTTGCTTGCTCGTGTTTACTTGCCAAAGAGGTTAGCTGAAAATGTGCACCTTCGGTTGGCCACCAGATCTCAAGCGCCGGCCATGGTGATGGTGTGGGCGGCCATAACAGCCGATGGTCGCTCTCCGCTTGCATTAATCGACCGTGGCATCAGAATAAATGCCAAATATTATAGCGAAAATATTCTGGAGGGACACACAACAGACCTCGGACATTCCAACAGGACTCAACACCATCGCACTCAGCACGCGCCACCCAATAATGGTTACAAGATGAAGTTCCTCGCTTAATTTCCAGCGCACAATGGCCACCAAAATCTCCGGAAAACTATTCGTTGGACTATTGTGTCTGGAGTATTTTGGAAAGCAAGGTTGGCACTAAAAAATGACAAAGGGTCGATCACCTCAAGCAAGCGCAAGAGCAACATTCGGCAGCGTGTGACGGTTTCATTGGCCGTTTGAAGGCCAACGGTGTCCAATTCGAACAAATCTGAACTTATTCTAAAATTTGATGCTATTTCCGACATTTTTTGCTTTCATTCAATATAATTTAAAAAAAAAAAATAAAAGTTATGGCGTTTGACTTTGTTGCAGTTTTTTTATCTCACCCTGTATTTCGCTTACTCTGTGATGTGAACTCTCAAAACGGCGATTCTGTTGTCTCCTATTCTTAGCTTTATTTTCATAATCTACTGTGTTTTTCATGCAATCATCAAAAAAATTAAAAAAAATTGTGGCAAAGTGTAATTGTATGTATGTATGAATTTGAATATATTTAAACATAAGGAGTCAAAAACATTTCTAATTTTAACCGAATTAAACGGTGCTCTTCACATTGCCCTAATAACGAGTGGCCATTAAACAAGCTATATATTTTTTCTGCAAATATAAAACTAAAATAGTTGCCATGATAAATAATTTGCAGGTGCAAGTCTTAACACCGCACACTTGTAATTTGTTCAAGTATGCAAATCTCTTAGATTATGGTGTTAAGTGGAACGTGACACGCATTGAAAGGGCCTGAGGAGAAAAGCTGCAGTATGATGTTAATACATCATCATACGTTTTAACATCAAGATACTCAAGCGATCAAAAAATAAACATCTGGGGTAAAGTCATACAATGCAAGAAAATAAATCGTGTTAGACGTGACCGACTCTTTATATGATCCGCCAGCAAATGTGATTAGACTGCTTCGAATTCGAAGTATTTTTCTAATGATTATCTAATTATTTTTCATAAATTAAGAAATATTTTATTTCCCTTTCTTTCTTGCAGATTTTCCTATACCTTCAACTAACAATTGTCTTAGTTGTTGCGACAGACCTACCAAACGCATCGGCAACAACAAATATGACAACAGCCGAAAGCAATGCAACATTTATGGAACCAATTGCTGAGCCACTGGTACGATATAGGAGACACCCACCCCGTACCATAGTCAAACACATCATAAGACCGAAACGTGTAAAAGTGAAACGATTGAAAAAGCCAAAAATCAAATACAGCTTTGCCGAGCCACCCACCACAATCTACTATAAGAAACCCAAACCATCGTATAGTCACGGACCCACATATGACTCTTCGATATTCGAAGATTTTTCACACATTAATGTGGAATCGGCTGATTTTGATTTACCGCCATCCAGCTATGAGACGCACAGCATGGATTTTGATTTGTACAAACATTACGAATCGCAAGCAGAGCAGGCCTACAAAGAGATTGAGAAACCCTCGTATAGTTACAGTGCCCCAGAGGTTTCCTACAAAGAAATGGCGAAAATTCCCTCATATTCATATTCACCCCCGAAGGGCGAACGGAAACCTCACACCCAATATGGTGTTCCAACGGAATTCACCTACAGCACGGGTTACGATAAACCCAGTGTAAATAGTTACAGCTATGAGGAGGGTCATTTACCAGAAAAAATGCCTTCATTTTCGAGTAGTTCGCATGGCACAGATTATGGCGGCGATTATCACGCCCCATCATCCTATGATGATCATTCCAATAAGATTTCCGAACATGCATCCGCCTTTTCCAGTACAGGATATGATGAAAAATCACATGGCAGTGGTTATGGTTATCAAGAAGAACATGCACCATCATATCCGGAACACTCTTCACATCCACAAATAATCGAAAGTGGAGGGGGACATGATAGTGGACACCATGGCCATGATTATTCTTATCAAGCACCAAAGGAGGAGTACAACTATAGTCCACCACAACAGCCAGCCCAACATCCGCCTCGCATCCCAGCCACAAAATATGGTGTACCGGATCTCCATTTACCTGTGGCCAATTTTAATAATTATAACAAATATTCTGTTGCGGATCACAAACCTTCTTCGTCCTATAATGGCTATAATAACCAACATCATTTTGCAGAGCCACCAGATCCACAAAAAACCACTGTGGAAATAACATATTCACCGTCTTATGAAATTAATTTACCACCCCGTAAGGCTCACTACCATCCAGCACCCCCACCGCCACCACCACCAGAGCATTCGATGCCAAGTTATCACCCAGAACACGGTCACCAAGAGGGTTCGGACTCACATCAGCCAGCCCGCTATGAACCAGCTCCACCACAAGACCTCCCCATAGATCAAAATCATCAGCAGCCACCTTACGATTATCCCAAATCAAGTTATGAAGTTCCAATCTACGATCCAATACCATTTGATTCGTCCAGCCATCAAGAACAGGAAGTCTATCCGCCACAACCATATGATAATAATTCCTGGCAAGAAGACACCAATACGGAATATGCAGCGGAGCCCAATAATGTGTCTGAACAAAAACCCTCCGATACAGACTCACAGGAAATGCCGCATGGAGATGTCCATTCAGCAGGTACCCGATCTCATGGTCAGTCAACATTCGTTACACCACCGCCAGTACAGAGGCCACAGGGTGGACGTAAGAGAAAACGCACTAAAGGTAGTCAATATCATTCGACTACTCTGGCCACAACTAAACACATATTGGATGTACCCGAACTGGAAGAGGCTTTCGAAAAGGAAAAACAAAAAGAAAATAAATATCTAACAACAGATCCTGACATAAATGAATCCCATAAAGTGGTAAAGGTCAACAATGGACCCTGGAATCCCATGAGAATTCGTACACCGACAATAAGTGGTACCACTCCGAGTACAACATTGGCCATCAATCAATATTCAAATCATCATGGAAATCGAAATTCATACCAGAATAGGTACCGTAGCACCACAACTACATCTACTACAACAATGGCTCCTCCTAGACATCAGCATCATCGTACTCGCCCTTCGGCAGCAACAACGCAATCTCCTCCGTTATTGCAACAGCAAACGAGTCACTTGCCAAAAATAGAAATCGTATCGATAGAGAAATCTCGTTCGAAAACCTTTTACGATGGTATTTTGTCCACACCGAAAATTTACAATACCAATTTCCTTCGGAATCGTTATCGAACGGTGCAACAACACCAGTCCACCTCTACAATAGCACCGCATCTAAGTGGTGACTCACAATCATCGTCCTCGTCGTCGTCTTCAACAGCGACCATGGATAGGTTCTCAAAACGCACAACCAAAAATTTCTTCGATACGACAATATTTAAGAGTCCTCTCAATGAACCAGATGTTTACCGTAACTTGCCCAAAAATCATAAATTATTTTGAAATTAATTTTGCTCTAATATATGATGGTATTATTTATTATTATTACTATTATTGATTTTAAAAATTAAAATAAAATAGGTATGAAAAGAAGTATATTTATTTTTATTTTGTACTAAAATAATGAAAACTTTGTCATCTAAGAAACATATAATGAATATTAAAGTGAAATAAATAAAATGTCCTAATAACTGAAGGAAAATAATGTGACCGATAATTTAATATGGCTGTTAATTTTTTATTTGTGGGTACCTTTGCATTCTTATTTTACTTTAAAAGACTTTTGTGAGCTATCAGTACTGGCTATTACAACATATGGACCAAGACATCCAAACGGGGAGATGATACTAAATACCTTATAACACTTTGAACCAAAATAATCCTCTGCACTATAAACCTAGAATGCAAGGATTTCACGAAAATGTAATCCCAAAACTTCAAAAAATGTGAAAGAGGAAGAAACTTTCCCTATCTCTACTTTGCGATTTAAACTTTCAATATGCCTATACCCGTTTTTTTGTAGCTCTACTTTCATAATATACCTGAAATTATTTTTTGTGTCGCACAATAATCATTCCGCTTCGATTCTACCTCCACTTGAAAGTCTTTTACTTTTTATTGTTTTTATTACAGGGTATATACAATAGATTATTTCTTTGACATCCACTTTACTCGAATGCCGGCAGGCTATTGTGGAATAGAAAGATTGCAGATAAAAGGAAAACAGATCCAATATTTAGACGTAAAAGCTAAAGTCCAGAAATGGATGTACTTTCATAATATACCTGAAATTATTTTTTGTGTCGCACAATAATCATTCCGCTTCGATTCTACCTCCACTTGAAAGTCTTTTACTTTTTATTGTTTTTATTACAGGGTATATACAATAGATTATTTCTTTGACATCCACTTTACTTGAATGCCGGCAGGCTATTGTGGAATAGAAAGATTGCAGATAAAAGGAAAACAGATCCAATATTTAGACGTAAAAGCTAAGGTCCAGAAATGGATGTAAAGGTCTGCCTGCTCTAATTTAATTTAAGCAATTTGGGACTCCTGCAGAAGCCGAACAGGCTCAGTGTCCGATCAATTAACTTCACCTTTTCCTCAAACTCACATAGACTGCAGAGATTTTGGCGAGAGTGACCAATCTCCGTTCTTGTTGTAGCAGTAGTACACATTGATGCTTGTTTTCTGCAAAATCTGCTTCAAGCTCCAGCTTTTAAAATTCTGCTACTTTAACAGGCTGTAGCCAGAGATCTTCTGGAGTTGTGCAATTGAAGAGGTGCAGCGTATTGTGCGAGTATCACACGCCTGGCAGACGTCACGCACATCTTCGTCAATTCGTGCCCAAAACGAATTGAGACGACTGCACCATCCTGAACGTAATTTCACCAAAACTACCTTGGCTTGTCTAGGCAGCTGGCTGCAATGGATGGGGGGTGGACTCCGAGGACGGCATTCATCCTGTAAATTTTGATAGCGTCTGCGACTGCATCGTTATGAATGCCACTCACACCTGTCTGATAGGCATTTTGATCTGGAGGTTCTCTCTTATCGCGTTGGACCTCCCTCTCTAGATCGTGTATGTCCTTCCTGACACACCTGGGTGGGGGATTTGTATCCACCATATGATGGTTGGGATGACTCTCATTGTAACACCCAAGCAGGCAAAGAAAACATATGATTATGCTGACGTAAAGGAAGGACTTTCGCCTCATGTAGATGGTCCACTGGTGTCGCAAATCTCAGGGCAGCATTGTGGCAGGTCTGGAGGTGTCTCCTTTTCTTCCCCTAGAATCTTGGGATGGTCTCTATTAAATTTCCCTCGACCAACACATTCTGCTGTGTTCTCATCTTCGCAGACCATGTTGTAAAGAGTGCGGCCGTTGATTTCGTGGCGGATATTTTTACATTCCTCGCGTGGAAGTATGCGGCTAAGGGTTCAACCTTCCACAAATGTCATCGACCACTGAGCCCGACGCCATGATCGTACATTCATCCGCATACGTTACGATCTCAATGCCGTCTGGAGGGTGAGGAATTCCGGAAAGGTAGAGGTTAAACAGTTCCGGAGATATCACCTCACCTTGGGGAACCCCCTGTTTCACTCTACGGGCTTCGGACTTCTTCTTCCACGTACGACTGGCGTCCACACAAATAGTTGACTATTCAACGTTTCAAACTTGGCCGGAGGATAGTTCTCTGCACGTCCTCAAACAGTATGGCATGATTGACCGTATCAAATGCCTTTGATCGGTCAAGGGCTACCAACACTGGTTCAATCCTCTACTAATATGTGTGGAAATGGCGTGTAATGCTATTGTGGTACTATGTTGTGAACGGAATCGTTGTTGATGGTTGGCCACTGCATAGCTTCCTCTAATGCTGGGGAGGAGTAAAGCCTCGAGTGTCTTGGTTACTGGCGACAAAAGCGAAATCGGCCTGTACGAGTCATCCTTGCTTGGCCACCCGGCACATTTTCCAGGCTTCGGGAATTATGTGGGAGGCTAGCGATAGGTTAAGAACTTTCGTCAGGTACTCGACTCCCAGCGTATCCAACTGTTTCAGCATCTCTGTGATTTGGCTAGCTGGAGATCAATACTCACCATTGTCATAAGTCGAACAACCTGCAACATTTCATCTTTAAAACCTTTCCCTAAAGTATTAAACTCTGAATAATTAGAGCCATCTATGTATCCATCAACTTCATATCTATACTCAACTTATAACGTACTAAATTTCCTCTAAATGTTTTATATTATTTCTTGCCTAGCTTTTCCATAAAAATCTTACTTAGTTCCTTATAATACACGACATACGAATTGTTTCAAATCCGAATATCTTATTATCTTCAACATAAAAAAAAAAACAATCAGTCTCTACTTACAATTCGTTCCATGAAGTTCTTCCATTTTTTGCTTGTGCTATACATCTGGAAATCATTGAAAAACACCGGACCCGAAGAAGTGGGAGGTAGATCCGGTAATACTGAATCCAAATTGAATACAATGCGACATTTTTCAATTAAGGCCTTCATAACGGGCATAAGGAATGAATATTGTTCGGGATTGCCAACTGAAAACAAAAGTATAAAATACTCGTTTTAGCGACATTTAATGCTAATAGAATTATTTTAGCTTACCCTCAATGGCTATATCCAGCGCTTTATTAATAGAGAATAACAAATAGGCCAGTTCATTAGGATTGGCCGCATTGCGACTTTGTAGTGTGGCATGTAATTTTGCCGTTGCCATTGCCACAACACCCGGATTGGGATGATGGGAACATTTCAAAAGTAAACCCAAACATAAACGTATCATATCCGACCAATCATCTGATGAATCAGATTGGAATATCATTAAGGCATCCAACAGGGCCAGAACTCCGTCCAGAAGCTTGGTGGAGCATTTTTTCGATTCATCTTCATTGGAGCCCAAAACCACCAAGTCATAAACCATGCGTAGGATGTGAGAGGCATTCTGAAAAAAAATATATATTTTTATTTGGCTACCAAATAGAAAAATTCTCGACCAACCTCTTGATTGATCAACGTTTGATTTCCATGTTCTGCCAAATCAAACAATGATGCCTGTACGGCCATTTCCAATATTCTTAAACGCAATGACAAATGCGAGGCCACTAATTCATTATTGAGGGCCAATAGATTGATACAACCCAGAACTTGACCTCTTTCCTTCCAACATTCGGGATCATCATTACCTACTCCCCTCCAAAATATGGTAAACAATGTGTTGGTCACCAAGTATACCAACTGCTCTTCGCTATCAACATCTGCTTCAGAGGAAAATTCCAAATTACTTTCAATCGAATCCGTTTTTCTGGCTCCAGCTTTTGCAGATTGTGATGAGCTATCCGAACTCATGGATTCCGTGCGTTGTTTGCTGAGGTCCATTGATATGGTGTCTACTGTATCAGCACTTGTGGTGGTGCTTGTTTGATGTGTCAATGACTCGAAAGTATCTTGCAAATCATGGGTGGTTTGTCTGATAACAGAAAAGACAGAGCTAACATTTTCCACTACCACACCCGAGACTGTATCGGCCAATTCCTTTATTTCACTTTCCAAAACATTGGCAGCCTCCGAAACACTGGCTTGTATCTCGTTGAGTATTAGACCACTTTCATTGCCATCTTGACCTTCCATTTGTTCAATTTGTTGTTCACAGAAGTTGATGAGGTCACCTTGATTGTCGAATTTATTCTCGTCCTCCAACAAAACATCCAGGTTAATGCCAAAACTCTTCCGTTTCTCTTCGTCTGGTTTGACATTTTCAATCGGCCGTCTTACGAGCAAACGGGCTATGGATTCCTGCCAGCCCGGTTGTTTGGCTATGGCCTGAGCAGAATTTTGTTTTGTAAAGGTACACTGCAACAGACGTTTTGCAACTTCCAATTTTACCGGCAGTTCACAACTACTGACATTGTGCACTAAAAATATGATGCCACAATAATCGATTTCCGTACTTAACATTTCATCCAATAAATGAAATAGGATGGTGGAACTCAGCACCATAGGTATGGTGTAGGAGAATAGCCCAGGAAACAGCGAGGCGTCTGTGGTGGGATCATGTAAACGCATAATTTGCTTATATTTCGGGTGGACACGAGAGGTGGACAATATGCTGCTTATAAACTATGGGAAATGAAATTTATTTAAGAATTTAAGTTACAAAAATTGAATGAAAGAAGTTCAACTAACCCTTATGGCAGCTTCCTGCAATTCACAGCTGTAGTTTTTATCTATGAAATAATTGTAAATCAAATTGGCCGCCTGAGGCTCATGTAGCAACAGGATCAATTGATCACGACAATTTTTACCCTTTATGTGCATATTCATTATTTCCAAAAACTCAATAAGTACATGGTCCTGCTTGACAGATGCCAAGAATGCTATTATTGTTCCAATCTCCTTGATGTTAATATCCTTTTGCAAATAGAATCGAACAATTCCGAACAAGGTTGAACGAATGGTCTTTGCATCTTCGGGCGTTATATTTTCCGGCGTGCCATAATATTGACGAATTGTGTCCAGGAAAAATTGTATTCCAAATTTTTTGCGAAAATATTTGCGATCGTTTTTAATCATTGCTCCCAAGTATTGCACATGACCCAGTGTTATTTGGAAGGGCATACGAACCCAAATATCAAAATTGAAGGCTATAGAGGTATAGAGCTCTTCCAAGAGGGCTCCATTGGCCTGCCCTGTTGAGGTTTTGTGACCCTGCAACGATTCCATAAACAAGTGTGTGGCCATCAAGGCATTAACATCAAACATTTTCGCTGGACATTTTTGCAGCATCATGCCCACAATCGACAAACATTCCGAATGCAACAAATTCTCCTGATTGTTGTCATGTTCGTGTGTCAGGTAACGAATGAAACACATAAAGCTGGCCAAGGGGAATTGTATCATTTTCCATTCGGTATAAGAATTGGTAGACAAGATTTCCCAATCAGCAAATTCCTCGGCCATTGGTGTTTTCAGCGATTCTCCAGACTCCAGGGCTTCCGTATCGGTTGTGCTAAGTGAAAAATCATCATTGTTTTCCTTGATTATGCGATGCAATATGGGCAATATGGCCTGAACTCCGCCCACACTATTAATGGTATCTTGTATTTTGACAATGGCACAATGTTGGGCCTGTACCAAACCCATGTATTTTCCAGTTGGTATTAAATCCAAGCAGGTGCTATGCGAATAGGCTCCGGGAGCATAGCAAAACACAAAACGTGATGTCAACTCCAACAGATCATTGTCTTGAGAAAATATCGAAGAAAAATTAATGCCAGCATCAAAAACGGTCTTAAGACTGGTGGTGGGTTCGGCCAGCAAAACACCACCCACCTGACCGCCAAGACATTGTTGTTCACCAAACACAGTTTCCTGCATGCCCACAGGGAAATTCTTAACATTCGGATCATATGAGGTGGATTGTGATCTGAGCGGTAGGGTAAAGTAATTGGAAACCTGTAACAAAAAGAAAAAAAAATTAGAATGCAAAAACATAGCAAGGTGTGAATGTATGACACAGGAAAACGCTTTTATCTATGCATACCCTGTATGTACAACTTACATTAGACGACAATGTCTTCTCCAACAGGCTGGGCAGCATGCTGCGATAACCTTGATTGGTATCTTGTGACGATGATCTTGGCAAACTTCCACTGTTTGCATTTGTAGCTGAGACCGCATTTGACGCCGGCGTTTTTATTTCTTGCAATGCCGATCCCACCGAACAGTACAAAAAAGGCTTCAGGGAATGACATGACAAATAAATTCCATTATTATTTATTTTATTTTTTGTTAAACAAGTTTCTATTGTTGTTTTGCTGTCTTACCTCATTTATGGCCGCCACTTTCAGTGTTGCACTTATTTTCTGCACAAAATCAATGAAAACATTTATTTGGCTATAGGAGAAAGGCCTTTTTGGTGGTGTAATGGCTACAGTTACATAATGCCATTGACCGTCCAGCAGAGTTGTGGAAGCCACCGAAGAGGTCAAATATTCCCGTTTTGTAAGTGCAGCAACAACAATGTTGCCATTGTTTTGTATGAAAATTTCAAAACCTGTATTGCTGCCGGTACGCAAACTAAAAAGAAAATAAAGGAAGGGAAATGTTAAGGTAAGGAGGATGCTGTCATTTGGATATAGTTAATGTGGCTTGAGTAATAGGAATTTTTTTTGCAAGAAGTGTTCAGCGACATTTGAATAAACTATAGAAATTAGTTGCGTGTTGAACCGACCATTATGTGAGGAAAAAAACCAAATTGACAAAGCAAAATATTTTTTGGTTTTGCTGCAGATATTTTTGTTAAAAATAAAAACAATATTTTATTTAGGAACTGGGAAATCCACACGAGGTTAGGTTAGGTTAAACGACGTGCGGTTGCCGTTTGATAACCGCTCTACTCGGAGACCAGCTGGTCCATTATCGTAATCCTAAATGAAGAAAGTGAAAGAACGAAAGATTGGTGGAAAAAGTGAAGATATTATTGATAGGAAATAGAGTCATAAGGGTAATTCACGGTAAGAAATTTTTCCGTGTCGTCTTTAGCCACTTAAGTCTTCTGGTTAATTGGAGAATTAGAATTAGGGTCAGTGTTAGAGAACGATGATAAATCATGTGACACTTGTCCCCCCACCAACCTGTGTCTCACTTTAATGAGTGCTGGAAAGTGGCAAACCAAATGCTCGATCGTCTCAATTTCTTCTTCGTCTTGACATATTCAGGTTTCGACAAGGAAAGTAGCGACTTTGTTCTCTTCTCAGAGAGTATGAGCAATTTTTTTTTTTTTTTGAGATGCTACATCACTTTTCGTCCAGCCATTTTTGTTGAATTCTCTCAGAGTAGTATGTATAAATTACCTGAAAGAAGTGGCACAGGGGTGGTTTGACAGAGTTTTCAACTTCAATGATAGCTGATTCGGACCCTAGCCTAGCCAATTCGACTGCAGTCTCATTGACTGGAATATTGTAATGATCAGAAACCCAACAGAGCTTGATGGATACCCCAGTGCTTTCCAAGAATCTCCTGCAATCCAAAACAGACTTAGATATAATGGCGGAGGAGTTTAAAGCTTTCAGCGCCGCTTGGCTATTGACATATATAGTCATCGGACCGCTAACATCGTTGTTCCTCGTGACCAATAGGTCTATGACTTTTTGATCGCAAAGATTTCCACCTAGGACACGCTACAGTTGTTTCCCAGCTTGTAGGATTCGCGAACATTAAGAGGGTCACAAAATACTCCAGCTCCCGTTCCGCATTCCATCTTTGAACCGTCAGTATAAACAGCTATGTCGCGGATAGGTGAATTGCGACTGGCGTCCCTGTCAAGTATGTGGATGTCAGGTGGGTCAAAGCTCAACCGTGCTGAAATATAACTTGTGTTGGCTTCCACTCCCTACACGCCCTAAGATCGCAAAATGTCCAAAGGATTGACTGCGCCATTGGTTTAGTTCTCTGAGTCGAAGAGCACACCTAATTGCCTGTTCCTGTACGTGTCTGCTTAGTGGTCTTAAGCACAACATGGTATCCAGCGCAGCTTGAGGTGTGCTCTTGAAGGCACCCGTTATTAGTAGGGATGCGGCTCTTTGAACTTTGTCAATGTGACTTTTTTCAAGGAATGCCACCCGGCTAGAGCTCCATAGGACAGGATGGGGCGAAAAATTGACTCATACACCCATTTAATTATGAGTGGTCTGAGGTCCCAGCTTCTACCTATGGAGTAATAGCAAGAATAGTGTGCAATCAAGCCTCTCTTTGCTCGTTCCTCGGTGTTCCTCTTCCAACTAAGTTGGCGGTCGAGGATAGTGCGGAGGTATTTGGTTTCAGAGGAGATGTTTAGCGTGACCCCATCTACCCACACTAGCAAGAGCCCGCTACATCGTTAGCGTTGAAGCCCTTATTAATTGGTCAACATATTTCAAAATTCTAGCTCCTATCAGTCGTACAATTTTAACTTTAAGAACTTTTCGTGTCCTTAAAGTACAAAAATTCCCTCTTATTTTGAACCTTACGCTCTTATCAATAGTTCCATAATACCATCACGACTGATTTTCTGGCAGAATTTCATAGTTTTAGCTCTCAGCAATTGTTTATAATCTTTTCTCAAAACAATTTTTTGCCAATTTTCCAAAACAAATCTCGCCTTTTCTCGCTTCAAATGTTTAATAACTATGTTGTAACATATCGTACCTTCTCATACCCTATAGTAGGAATTTAAAAGTAAAAAAAAAAAAACAGTAAGTTCGGCCGGGCTTAACTTTGAATACCTTCCCCCATTTGCAACGAATTTTGAAATTTTCCAAAAAATAAAATCCGTTAAAAATTCTGTTAAAATCTCAAAAATTCCGAATATCGCCGTTATATTGGGGTCTAAACGAAGATGTGGACCTGCATAGGCAACCTTTGTCATAAGCCATTACAATATTTAAATTCGAAACTTGAAAAAAATCCTGTGAATATTGCTGCAAAAATCATCAAAATACCGAATATAGGGAGGTACCGTTACATACGTGCATATACATGTCTTCGCAGGCTGTAGTACTTATTACGAACTTCAAATACGAAATTTCAAACAATTTCGGTGAATATTGTATCTAAAATCATCAAAATACCGAATATAGGGAGGTACGGTTATATGAAGACGTGGGTCTGCATACGCAATGTTTTGACACAGGTTGTAGTAACCATTACGAATTCCAAATACGAAATTTGAAACAACTCCGGTGAATATTGTGCCTGAAATCCTCATTATATTATATATTGTATGTGGGGCATACGATATCGTGGACCAATATTGACATTTCCCTTCTAGGGTGTAAAGTGCTAAGAAAGAACTTCTAGTATGGATTTTTCGACAATTTCATTGAAAAATGTAGCTAAAATCTTCAAAATACCGAATATAGGGAGATATATACAAAATACTTTTCCAGGAATAAAGGAAGGACAATTTTTTTGAAAAAAAAAAAATACCGAATATCATTGGTACCGTTATAGGGGGCTACATGATATGGTTCAAAGATATAGCCCATCTTCGAACTTGACCTGCCTGCAGACAAAAGATTCTTTATTCGTTTTGACTCTAGCGTGATTACAACGGACGGAAGGACGGACTGGTCTAAATCGTCTCAGAATTTTACGCTGATCAAGGTCTAAAACTGTTATTTCGATGAGTTACAAACGGAATGACGAACTTAATACATATACCCTCCTACTATGTAGGGTAAAAAAACTGCTTTATATGAAACCTTCTCACTAAAAGTGACAATACTTTTCGTACCCTATGTGCGTGGACTTCCAAAAATTGCATCTTATCTTAAATGTTTTCATAAAGAGTGACACTCATGTGTAATGTAAATGTCTTAGATATAACTGCTTGCTTAATAATAATGCCGTACCATTTTTTGTCAAATAGTTCTTTCCGTTTTCTTAAAATATGAACTTCCAAGAAACAGGACTATTTCGTTTTGCAGCAAAAATTGGGCAAATTCTCAAAGAGATTTTATTTAGAAAATAATAAATTAATGATAATATATGCTCTGTTCCAGTACCTGCAAGAATCTACTAGTTTTGAAATGTTCTTCGATATCATAAAGGGAAATCGGTTACCGTAGTAAAAACTTTTACATTCTAGCAGTTTTGGAACAAACAAATATTCTGTATCAAAGATATAAATAACTCAACTCATCAATATTACTTAACTTACTTTAGTAGCATACGCCGACATTCCTGACGTGGTTGTTGTTGGTCATCTGTCTTGGCATCAATATTCAATTTAGAATTTGATTTTTTAAAATTACTATCGAGACGTAATAAAATATGAAATATGAAACCGTAAGCACCAGACATAGACCAATTTTTTATATCGGTAACAACAATTCCATCTCCAGGTTCACAGAAATTAAAATATTGGGAACACAAATTTGTGCTTGTCAACGATTGTAACGAGACGCTAACCAAAGTCTAGAAGGAGAGTAAAATAAAATTTTATTACTGATAGAAAAATATAATACATAGAAATAATTTGATGTGCCATACCTGTAATAATTGTTTATGATGTGGAAATTGACTTTCTTTGCGTAATAGACTAAAAATACTTTTCAATTCGATGGGTATAATACTGAGTTTACTCAACTCTTCAATTAATTTAATGTAATTCTGTATACATTGATCGGAGAGCTTGTCTGAATGTTGCAAGCATTGGCATATACTTTTGATAATTCGGGTCTCACAAGCAATGGTTTTTCTGTAACGGAAATATTTATTAAATTCGTTTCGTTTACAATACTCGGCATTTTTAATTTCAAAACTTACGTTCCATAATTGTCGGTACAAGCTTTAAGTATTTTATGGCTCAAAAATGCCTGTTCTCTGGCATCCATTTGCGGTAGCCACTCAATAAGTTTTGTCAATACTTCTGGCAATGTAAGCAGGCCTTTACCATCGTCATAGGCTAATTCAACACAGGCCTCCAATAGATCGGTGGCTGGTAAACCAACATCCATTAGACCCGTAAACAATTTACTAATTTTGTCATAATAACGTATTTGTTCAGTTATGCGTAACGAATTTCTGGTAATTGATGCCAAAGCTTTCATAACTTTTATTAAAAGTTGATTATAATCTAAATTCCATTCTGCTACAGCTTTGGGCATAGCTATTAAAATATCCACCAAATTAGTATCCTCAATGGCCTCACAAATAAACATTGATGTGGAGCCATCACATAAGAATACATTGATATTGTCTATAGATGCGTCTAAAGCATTAACATCGATTGTCTGATCATTATTGGGATCATTGTCATCGGGAGCTATATTGAAGGTATCACCGGCATTCTTTTGGAAATTGTCCGTTTTTAAAAGTTCCTCCAAAACATCACAGTATAGCTTAATAAGGGTAACTAAATCTATTTGGCGCTGCAAAGGTAATAATGAATAAGTTGAATGTCTACAGGGTGAGATGAAAAAACTGCAATCAACTTCAGACTGCTGTCATTTCAGAGCCACTCGTCCGACAGCTGTTAAAATTATTCCAGTCACAGCTCATTATATTGTTTACATGGGTACAAAAGCATTTTGGTGAGAATTTTCCACAAAAAGATGGAATTAAAGCGTAATAGCGTGATTTCTTTATATTTGGCTAGAGAACCACAAGTGGTTATCGTTAGAGCACTCCAGCATTTAAGTGTGAATAACTCTTTTGTGTCTCGTACCATTGCTCGTTACCGTGATACTGGTAGTGTAGCCCGACGTCAAGGAAGTGGACGGAAGAAAAAACAAAATCAGTATAAATGGTTCGAAAAGTAAAGAAGCGACTTGATCAAAACCCGCGTCGCAGTGGCCGAAAAATGGTTCCTGAGCTGAACATATCGCAATATTCCATTCGGCAAATATTGAAAAATTAGCTCGGGGTAAAATCATTGAAATACACTTACACCGCAACAGATAGAAAGTAGACTTTCGGTTGGCCACCAGAACTCAAGCGCCGGCCATGGTGATGGTGTGGTCCGCCATAAAAGCCGATGATCGCTCTCCGCTCGTATTAATCGACAGTGGCATCAGAATAAATGCCAAATATTATCGCGAAATTATTCTGGAGGGTGTATTAAAACCTTGGGCATGCAAACATTTTGGCCGCACACCTTGGACATTCCAACAGGACTCAGCACGCGCCACCCAAGAATAGTTACAAAATGAGCCTCCTCGCTTCATTTCCAGCGCACAATGTCCACCAAAATCTCCGGATACCAATCCGTTGGACTATTGTGTTTGGAAAGCAAGGTTGGCACTAAAAAATACCAATGTGCCGATCACCTCAAGCATGCGCTTCGCCGGGAATGGGCCAAAATACCGCAGAGCTAAATTCGGGCAGTGCGTGCCGTTTGAAGGCCATAATTCGTGCCAAAGGTGACAAATTCGAACAAATATAAACTTATTGTAAAATTTGCGACATTGTTTGCTTTCATTCAATAAAATTTAAAAAAAATGATGCCAAAATGATGGCGTTTGACTTTGTTGCAGTTTTTTTTTATCTCACCCTGTGTTGTTGAAATCAATAACTTACTTCTTCCGGACTAGATTTTTGTAAAACAATGACCATTAGAGCACAGCATCTTAGAGTAATAGTTCGTAAGCTATTTGACGTTTCCCATTGGGAAAGAATTTTCATTAAAACCGATACGGTAGCCGGACAAATGGCACGCATGCCATTGCGCTAAAGGATTCAAAGAAGAAAAAAAATTAGATTAAACACAAAATAAAATAATTGTACGAGTGACAAACAAACAAAATATGTATTTTGTAGACAAAATAACATTTATACCAATTAGACATGTTTTTTTATTTCTAAATAATTCAAATATCTTGAAAAAGTAGAAGGATAGCACATAACTACTCACCAAATTATCACAGATTGTATAACCATCACCAGATTTTTTAAGATAATTTGTATTTGTTATAGAGGCTAATGTTTTCTGTAACATTTATGTGGTAGTGGTGGTGGAGGTGATTTATATGTAAGACAAAAAACAATTAGAAAGATTATATACACCGACACCGGGGTTTGTTTTTGTAAATGTTTATGTTGTCATTGTTAGGAAACATTATGGAAAGGGTTATATAGAATTATAGATTGTATGGACATGTAAATGCAAATGTATAAAAAAACATATATTAGAAAAAAATAATAAAAAAATAATAAAAAAAAATTGTCCTCTGGTAAAATTAGCTTACCTGCGATCCACAAATTATTGCACCTAATGTATGTATTAATGATTCTCCAATATCGGGAAAATTTGTTATATCATTTTGTTGAAAACAATCTATGGAATAGTAAGAGAACAACATGCATTAGATTAAAAGAATCAATTTGATTTCAGAAACATTACAAAGATCAGCTTTCCTTATGGATCCACAGCGAACATTAGTAAGAATGAGGGATTTGTTATACTACGAGCTGAGAATTGTCGGAAAATTGCAATAACATAATTTACTACTTACCATAAATAAACGGTATAATTTCGACATGTACCATATGGGGTTTATACGACAATTTTCTATAATCAGCAAAACTATTGCGTAAAAAGCTACGCCATGTCAAGTACGGATCATACATAACCTCCAGGAATCGTGAAAAGCTACGAAACAAATGTCCAACTTCTGGGGATGCATGTTTCTGTTCAATGCACTGAAAGAGAAATTGAAAATATATTCCTCATGTAATAAGTAAAACTAGAACATGTAAAAAAGCTTTGAATACCCTCCACCATTTGGAACAAATTTGGCAATTTTCAAAAAAAAAAAGTAAATAAATAAATAAGTAAATAAAGTCCATTAAAATCTTATTTTATATTATATTATGGTCTATATGACGACGTGGGCCTGCATAGGCAACTTGAAAAAAAAAATCTGTGAATAATGTAGCTAAAATCATCAAAATACCGAATTATAGGGAGGTACCATTATATGGGGGCTATTACAAAACTTGGACCTGCACAGACAATTTTCTGTCATAGGCTGTAGTATCCATTACGAACATCAAATACCGAATTTGAAACAATTCCGGTGAATAATGTCGCTAAAATCGTCAAAATACCGAATATCGGGAGGTACCGTTATATGGAGGGCTATACGAAGACGTGGACCAGCACAGATAATTTTCTATAAGAGAGAACCTCTAGACCAAGCGGGTCTGAATATCATTCATACTGATGCAGTCGCAAACGTAGTTAACAATTAGTATGAATGCCATCCTCGGAGTCCACCTCCATCCATTGCAGCTGAAGAACGTCTGCTGCTTAAGCAAATCAGGGTAGTTTTGGCTTAACTACGTTTAGGATGGTGCAGCCATCTCAATTTATATTGGGTTCGAATTGACGAATATGTGCGGAACGCCTGCCCAGAGTGCGATTCAAGCCGGCACAATGCGCTACATATATTCAATTGTCCAACCAAGCCTACCCAACTCCGTCCGGAGGATCTCTGGCTACAGCCCACAAAGGTAGCAGAATTCCTAAAACCTGGACATCGAAGAAGAACCAGATTATCAGTCTATAAACAACAGAACATATATTTCACTTTTCGAGGATCCAGCGGCAAGACGACATCGCGCCAGCATCGATATCACTCGCGATGACACAGCCACTTTTTCCAATGGAATTATCTAAAAATCCACACAAGGAGTTCCTTGTGAGTACTTTACACGCAGACATAGATTTGTCTTTATAGGTCCACAATATCGTATATCCCCCCATACATCGGCCCCTTCCTATATTCGATATTTTAAAGATTTTAAAAGAATTTTTAATGGATTTTATTTTATTTTTTTTTTTTTTTGAAAATTTTCTAATTCGTTCCAAATGGTGGAGGGTATTCAAAGTTCGGCCCGGCCGAACTTACTGCTTGTTTACTTGTTTTTTTTTTGAAAAATATTGGAAAGAATATTAGAGTTTCGTGACAAATTCGCAATAGAAAAAAGGAAAATTGGGATACGGATGTTTGATCGAAATTCTGAAAATAGTCGGATGTTTGATCCGAAATTCGGAAAATTTTCGGATGTTTGATCCTAAATTAGGAAAGATATGAATATTTTCGATAGTTTTATCCGAAAATCAGAATACGTTGACTAATTTTTTCGAAATTCGGAAAGTTATCGAAAAAAGTCTAATATTGTCGGAAAATTTCGGATGATTGATCCTAAATTTGGAAAAAATATGAAAAATGCCGATAGTTTTACCCGAAAATCGGTAAAAATTGACTAATTTGTTCGAAATTCGGAAAGTTATCGAAAAACGGTCTAATATTGTCGGAAGATTTGTCCGAAAATCGGAAAGTTTTCGGATGTTTGATCCTAAATTCGGAAAAAAAAATATGAAAATTGTCGATAGTTTTATCCGAAAATCGGTAAAAATTGACTAATTCGTTCGAAATTCGGAAAGTTATCGAATAAAGTCCAATATGGTGGGAAGATTTGTCCGAAAATCGGAAAATTTTCGGATGATTGATCCTAAATTCGGAAAAAATATGAATATTTTCGATAGTTTTAACAGGAAATCGGAAAAAGTAGACTAATTTTTCCAAATTCGGAAAGTTAACGAAAAAAAGTCTAATATTGTGGGAAGATTTGTGTGAAAATCGGAAATATTTCGGATGTTTGATCCTAAATATGGAAAAAATATGAATATTTTCGATCGGAAAAAGTAGACTAATTTTTTCCAAATTCGGAAAGTTATCGAAAAAAATGTAATATTGTCGGGAGATTTGTCCGAAAATCTTTTGATGTTCGTTTGTATGAAACTTCCCATACTTCCAGGAGTGTGTTGCAATGCCGCATCTAAATAATAAAAATAATTTACACTATTAAATATTTTAAACATTACACTTTTGCACATACATTTTAAAGGAACCTAATTTACTGCATACGTGCTCCGTAGAAATGCTGAAAAACTGAGCATAAATAAAAAATCCAAATAACAAGAGTCCTCGGAAAAATGTTAGCTGGGCACATACTTTTTTCTTACGCACGCGCAACCGTTTTGCTAGAAGCCTAATAGAGACTAGGCCACTATTGAAGTAAAGTTCTCAAAGTCATGATGTTTTTGAAGGGGTACTACAAAATAGTAAAACATTTCTCAATTGATACGATGGTTCAAAAAGGCGAGCTGTTTAAACATTTCTGGTCGATACTGATTATGGGGCCTAAAGAGAGGTATTTTCTATACAGTTAAAATCTAAACTGCACACCAAAAGCAAATTTGCTTTTGGCACAGTTACTTCTATAATTTAATAATAACAATATTTAAACTTGGGAAAATTTGTATACTTTCAAGCGATAACAAAATTTTAAGGATGATTACTAAATTACAAGCCATTTTTTTTATAATTTAGCTCAGAATATTATTACGTATTTTAATGAAAAGATCTTTATTTTTGGAAGAATTTATTCGTTTTATTGGTGAATGTTAATGAAGGCCTTGATTCGAAGCTTGTAATGTTTATTAACGGCAAACTGCATTTGTATCATATAATCGTTTTTGGGAAAGGGAATCATTTTAAACATATCTCCATTCAATACCAAATCATTAACGATAACATCATCCTGATAGAAGAAAATAAAAGTCAAGTTAAAATTTCAACAAAAAAAACTGATAGCCGAGCATTGACTTACAACAATGGGACAAGTATGATTAACATTCGTATAGGGCCTAATTTCTTCAAAAACCGCCTTCCAAAATGGAACGCCATTGGAGTTTTCCAGAAAGCGACAAAAATCCAGAGTATTGTTGAAAAGAAACGGTTTGTAACCGTTGCTTTTTGCAAAAAGTTGATAGTGGGCCTAAAAGAGGTGTTGTTGACATTTTTAAAATAAATATTCATAGTTTTAGGATTTCTTTCTTTGTATCAAACTTACTGTGATATTGTTAATCAGCAATTGATGCAACTGAACATGTAAGTTAAGGCGAACGGTGTTTCGTGATACCGCCTTTAGACCACACTTTCTTATTGTTAGGAAGGATTTGTCAAATTCTTCACATTTGAAATTAGAAAATTTTATTTTAAACGATTGCGTTTGCTGTACTCTGTTCGCAAACAAAATGACAACACTTAACAAAAGCAGTTTCAAATATTTCATGGTTGTTTTAAGAATGGACAAACTTTCGACCGTATTTGGTTTATTTTAATAAACAAATACTTTATTTTTATAGCTCGCACTTGTGCTATTATAAATAATTACCAAAATTATATTTGCACTTAGCAAAGTGCGATCACAATCAGTAATATAATATGAAAACAAAACATTGTAAAACGGAGTCAACCAACCTAAATTTTAGCAAATGTATAAAATCATTGCTTAAACCAAACTCTGGGAGTAAAGTTTGCACAAAGAAAATATAATATTAAGTTTAACTAAGAAATATTTTTAATCTGGACTGAATTGAAATAAAGTGTTTCGCACTATTTGCACAGTGGTAAGCAAAAAAAAATTATTTTCTAAAGGGAGATTTTTAAGAGCTATGGGAAAGTTTTTAGAGAAACCCAGTAAGAAAAAGTCAAAAGTCGGACTGGGCCGACTATATTATACCCTACACCACTATGCATATTAAGTAGAGCTCCCGTAACCACCTATCAACATTTGGCTTTAGAGCAGTTATAGTTTTTTTTTTCAGATGGAACTAATATAAGCGAGACGGGAGGTTTTGACGGAGACATTGTAATCATTTATACCAAATAACATTGCTATAGAGTACATGATATCACTTTGAGAATGATTATATTAAAAAAATATATATCGGAGCCGAGTACCACAATATGAAAATGTGCGTCCCAAAATTCACTCCATTTGGGCTGATATTAGCCATTATTTGCACAATAAAACTTAAATCGGATTAAGGATATATATGGGAGCTATATCCAAATCATAGTCGATCTCAATAAATTTTGGCAAAGGTATTTTCGAGCTCTATAAGATATCTGATACCAAATATCATTGTTGTCGAATGCATATTATGAATGTGAGGGACACAAACACCAACTCGGCTTAAATTTAAATTTGTTGTACTTTCTTCTAAACTGAATTCGTCGGATGTACCAAATTTCAGGACATCCGGACTGATATTGGCCATTTGATGCACAATGAACCAGAAATCGGTTGAAGCTATATCCAAGTCTGAACCGATCTTGATCAAATTTGGCAGAGGTATTTCGGGGCCATTATTTGCACAATCAAACTGAAATCGGATTAAGGATATATATAGACAATTTTCTACTACGAGGATTGTTAGCTATTGCGAGTCTTAAATACCAAAATTGAAACAATTCCGTTGAAAATTGTGGCTGAATCGAAATACCGAATGTCGGTGGGTATCGAAATATTGAAGTCTGGGACCAATAAGGACAAGATTTTAATCCGGCTATAGAACCCATTATGAACAAATACCGAAAACGAATCCGATAGAAAATGTGCCCTAAATCGTTAAAATACCGAATATCTGCATGTACGGTTATATGGGGGCATAAGGAAAACATTACACATGCTGTGTGAAACTACATATGATGCAATTTAATCTTTTGCATTTTGGACAAAAAACTTGGATATCATCTCACTATTCGCATTTACGTTACGATTCGCAGCATCTTTACTTCGTACTTCTAGTACGGTCCAACTTTGTCCGTGTTCCAGGCGGAAATCTTTGCGGTCAAAAAAGCCATTGGTCACGTGGAACATGGTTAGTCCGGTGAATTTATACGTCAATAGCCAAGCTGCACTGAAAGCTTTAAACCCCTCCACCATTAAGTCTAAGGCTGTTTTGAGTTGCAGGAGATCCTTGGAAGTCCATCAAGCTCTGTTGGGTTACATTATTCCAGGCAACGAGACTAAAGTCGAATTGGCTAGGCTAGGGTCCGAACTAGCTACCATTGAAGAACTAGGTCAAACCACACCTGTGCTACTTCTTCCAGGTAATTCATAGACACTACTCTAAAAGAATTCAACAACAGTTTCTGGACGAAAGGGGATGTAGCATCTCCAAAAGAATCTAGCCCATACTCTCGGAGAAGAGTCGAAACCTGTGGTGGGTATCATCACAGGTCACTGCAAGGTGAGGGCAATGACCTCGAAATGGGACAGCGATGAGATTGACTAATGTAGAATCTGTCAAGACGAAGAAGAAATTGAGACGATCAAACATTTGCTCTGCCACTTTCCAGCACTCGTTAACGTGAGACACAGGTTGGCGGGGGAACAAGTGCAATGAAACAAGAAGACTTAAGTGCGAAAAGACGACACGGCAAAATTTCTAATCGTGGATTACCCTTACAACTCTATTTCCTATCAATAAAGTATCTTCACTTTTTCCACCAATCTTTCTTCTTACACTTTCTTCATTTAGGATGAACACAATGGACCAGTAGGTCTCCGATTGTAACGGTTAATAAATATTATTCCTTTGGTAGTTTTTTAATTCCTCTAGCTGATCTTCACTTCGAAATCGATGATGCCCCTGAACGCATTAGGCGCGCAATTCAATAATTTGCAAGCTTTGTTCGTTTGTAAGACAATTCATGGTTAAGTTATAGACAAAATTTAAGATGTTTGACAGAGAAACAAAAACCGAAACGTACGTGAGCTGTTTAAACCATTATATAATAAAAGTTGCTTTTCAAGCCGATTTGTTACTAAACATTAGGCCACAACTAACCTATCCTCCCCACATTGAGGTGTAGGGTATAACAAATTAATTGCCTAGAATTCGGTGTTTAAAAATGTTTAATAGAATGTATTCAATTAAATCGTATCATAATATCAATCACTTACCTGGTGATATACATGGGTAAGAATAGCAATTAAATTTGGCTTATATTCATATTTGATAACAGCCAAAATATTATCAAAATGCCGGCAAACAATTATTAAACAGTCGACCAGTATGGCAATTTGACGTATAGTTTCATCAGTGATTTCACCCTGTAAGCAACAACAAAAAAACCAAAAAGATAATGAGGTGAACTATAATAAATATCCATAGCGATGCATATGACCAACACACATCACGTGTTGATATTTTTCAAAACCAACAATACTTACATTTTGGCACGAATCACTGGCGACAATAATAAATTTACCAATAGCCGGCAACAGTTCGTCGGGTAAGCGCCCTAAATGTGGTCCCTGATCAGATTGAACTTCATACCAGTAGGGACAATCGGCTGCAGAGAAATCCAAAGGTAATTGACTTTGCCAAATGGAAACAAAACGTTCCATAAATTCACGAAAATATGATTCTTCATTCTAAGAAAGGGGGAAAGACAACATAAAAATTAACAGTCAAAGAGTTTAAGAGAATTGAGGTTGCATTGATTCAATTTCATAAGTAGATTATAGGCACATAGGCTGAGGGTGAAAAAAAAAACAATTGCAAATAGTATATTGTATGAATTGTATATTTTATTATTAGTTTGAAAACTCTAATGGCATGTGTGTTTCAAGCGAATCAAAATGTTTCTTGAAGTTGAAAATCTTTTCAAATAGCCGTGACATGTGTTTTGGTAGTTTAAAACAAACTAAAAATTATCAGTCGGTTTTGCCGACAGGTATATACCCTCAGCCAATGATCAATAATTAAAATATATTTTGACTTCTGTTATGACTACTCAAATTGTTGACCCTCTTTGGAGTAGGTTCCGAAGGAATGGGCCAATATTGTCCATTTCATATCGGACCCAAATATATTGTCTACTTCTTTCACTTTATATGAGATAGTGATCATTTTTAGAAAATGTTAATATGTGCATGAGGTACCCGATATATTGGATCGAGGTATTCCACATCCATTCTTGATCTAATACAGATGAAAATATTGCTATGGGCAATTAAATCCAATTTTATAAGAAATCATATATTACATATTCATCTCAGGTTTCTGGTTGAGAGAAATATTTCGATATAGCTTTCTTTTAACGCTTTGTTTTTCAAAATCTTGAACCCTTGTGGGGGATGTACCAGAAGGAATGGTCCTATCTCTATCATCTTTATCACATATCTTGCGTTGATGGAAATATTGAGAAGTACAAAATCTGAATGGTATTGGAATTTTGACCTTTGTGGGGGAGGTACCAGAAAGAGTGGACCGATATATCCCATTTTCACACCAGACCTTGGGTTAATAAAAATATTGTGATGTGTGTAATTTGAAGAGAACCAGATGATTATTTCGGATTTTATGATCGTTTTGGTTATTCAAAACTTTGAACCTTTGTGGGGGAGGTACCAGGAGGAATGATCTGAACTCTACCATCTTTATTACAGATCTTGCGTTGATGGAAATATTGATATGTACCAAGTCTGAATGGTATCGGATATTAATTTCGCATATTTAAACTTCATGGGTAGGCAAAATTTTGGCCCTTTGTGGCGAAGGTAGCAGAAGGAGTGGAGCGATATATTCCCTCTTCACACCAAACCTTGGGTTAAAAAAATATTTTTATATGTGTAATTTGGAGACAATCGGATACTTACATCACATTTTGTAAGAGTCATAATCATTCAAAATTTTGACCCTCTGCGGGGGAGCTACTTAATGGAGTGGACCGATATTGGCCATTATCGCACCTGACCTAGCACTGATGCAAATATTAGGATTCGCAAAGTTGGAGCAAAATCGGATTACGATTTCTCTTTCTGTGCAGTAAATTATTTTCTTTGAAAATGCTGACATTTTTTGTGGGAGATAACAGAAAGAGTGACACTCGGTCTAAGTTTGACAAGAATATTACGATGTACCAAGTTTGGATCAAATCGTATTCTCCGTTCGAGAGTTATCGTGCGCACAAGCCAGCCAGACAGAAGGACTGTCGGACATCGCTATATCGACTCCAAATGCTCTGAAACGGATTTGGTCCAAAGAGACCTAGGGAATAAAATTGTTATTTCGATGAGGCACGTTTTGGCCTATCAAATTATATGTGAAATTTAGATTTAATTCCCGAGCATTTGGGACAAATACCCGGCTACTCGAAACTGCTAACCCAATTCAATGTTCCCACTGTATATAGATGCTAAGAATCTCACCTATAAAACTAAATATAATCGCCAATCACCGTTCTGTGAAATAGAATATTTGTCCACTCCATCCTAATACACCAATCGCATTGTTATGATGAATTACAAGAAAAATAAGCGGTAGGGTGAATAGGGTTGGTTGTTCATTACAAAACTGTCCGGCAAACCCCTAACACCACCCACAAGTATACACCCACATATGCGGAGAACAACCTACACACAAACACATTAGCACACCCACACACCAACGCCAAGTAGACAATAAACACTCCCCCCTATTCATTGTAACTAATGTGGAGCCGGCACACAAGAAATGGTGGAACATGGGGGTAGTTATTCGCAGTTCCAGCATTGACATTATATAATCCTAAATCTGTGCACATCCCAATGCACTTCAATCGATTTCGGGCAATAAACCTCAAATTTGTTTATTTTTGTTGTAATTATCAACATCAACTGGAATGTTTATATTTTTGTGGCGGCCGCTGACGATGAGTAATACTTGCAGAATGTATTTCTTTTTATCTTTGTAGGACCATCCGAATGGTGCTGGCCTCAAGTATGACCGCTTGGAAATTCACATTACTAGACACATTTCTTAAAAAACAACGCCAAAACACGCCAACATTCCTTTTCCAATCTGACGGTATGCAGACACCACCACTTGGAAGATACTTACCTTCGTCGTGTACTGCACCCACAAATTGTAAATATCTTTTTTCTTATCCATATTTTCGCCACGCGCGAATCTGCATTAATAACGGATAAATGTTTGCTATTTTCTTAAGGTGGATAAAAATAACTTTGAATTATTTTTCTATTTTTTCATTGAGCCGTGTATTTTTTTTATTTTTGTTTACAAATGACCAGCCGTGAAAAAACTTTACCAAGAAACCTGATCAGCTGTTTGGCTGAGTTAACTGGAGATGCCAGATGGATTTGATGGCAAAAGGAAAGTGTAGGGTTGCCAAAGGTCTACTTTAAACGAACGAAAGAAGGTTCAAAGAGAATGTGAGAGAAGATAAATAATAACAGTCTAAAGGTGAGAATACATCAAACGCTTAACGTGCTTAAGTCGTCGGCTGCCTCCCTCTGCTAAAGAACAAAGGAGCTTTAGGTTGATTAGTTAATTTTTGCTTGTTCACCCTACGCTACAGGGTTGACAAAATTGAAAAATACAACTCCAAAGCTAGACATACTTATTTGATTATGGCATACAGCGTATGCAACAACTTATGTTTATACCGCGATTTTTTCACATTTGTATACTCTCCATAATAGTATGGAGGGCATATTAAGTTTGTCATTCTGTTAGCCTAAGACAGAAAATTGTCTGTACAGGTCCACGTCTTCGTAAAGCCTCCATATAACGGTGCCTCCCGATATTCGGTATTGTTATGATTTTAGCGACATTATTCATCGGAATAGTTTCAAATTTTGTATTTAATGTTCGTAGTGGATACTATAGCCTAAGACAGATAAGTGTCTCTGCAAGTTCACGTCTTCGTATAGCCCCCATATAATGGTACCTCCCGATATTCGGTATTTTGATTATTTTAGAGACATTATTCACCGGAATTGTTTAAAATTTGGTATTTGAAATAGGTAATGCATACTACAGCTTAAGACAGAAAATTGTCTGTACAGGTTCACGTCTTCGTATAGCCCTGATATAATGGTACCTCCCGATATTCGGTATTTTGATTATTTTAGAGACATTATTCACCGGAATTGTTTAAAATTTGGTATTTGAAGTAGGTAATGGATACTACAGCCTAAGACAGAAAATTGTCTGTGTAGGTCAACGTCTTCGTATAGCTTCCATATAAGTGTAATTCCAGATATTCGGTATTTTGATGATTTTAGCGACATTATTCATCGGAATAGTTTCAAAATTTGTATTTCATGTTTGTAGTGGATACTACAGCCTAAGACAGATAAGTGTCTCTGCAGGTTCACGTCTTCGTATAGCCCTGATATAATGGTACCTCCCGATATTCGGTATTTTGATTATTTTAGAGACATTATTCACCGGAATTGTTTAAAATTTGGTATTTGAAGTAGGTAATGGATACTACAGCCTAAGACATAAAATTGTCTGTGTAGGTCAACGTCTTCGTATAGCTTCCATATAAGTGTAATTCCCGATATTCGGTATTTTGATGATTTTAGCGACATTATTCATCGGAATAGTTTCAAATTTTGTATTTAATGTTCGTAGTGGATACTACAGCCTAAGACAGATAAGTGTCTCTGCAGGTTCACGTCTTCGTATAGCCCTGATATAATGGTACCTCCCGATATTCGGTATTTTGATTATTTTAGAGACATTATTCACCGGAATTGTTTAAAATTTGGTATTTGAAGTAGGTAATGGATACTACAGCCTAAGACAGATAAGTGTCTCTGCAGGTTCACGTCTTCGTATGGCCCTGATATAATGGTACCTCCCGATATTCGGTATTTTGATTATTTTAGAGACATTATTCAACGAAATTGTTTAAAATTTGGTATTTGAAGTAGGTAATGGATACTACAGCCTAAGACAGATAAGTGTCTCTGCAGGTCCACGTCTTCGTATAGCTCTGATATAATGGTACCTCCCGATATTCGGTATTTTGATTATTTTAGAGACATTATTCAACGAAATTGTTTAAAATTTGATATTTAAAGTACTACAGCTTATGACAGAAAATTGTTTGTGTAGGTCAATTCGGTATTTTTACGATTTTGATGATGCATGTCCACGTCGAGTATAGATCTTAATATAACGGCTACATTCGGTATTTTTAAGTTTTAACAGAAATGTTAACGGATTTTTTTTTTTTTTGAAAGTTGCTAAATTCGTTCCATGTGGTGGAGGGTTTTCAAAGTTTGGCCCGGCCGAACTTATAGCTTTTTTACTTGTTTCTATCTCAAAATTTCATAAGTTTTTCTTCAATTTTTTCCATGGTACAATGAAGAAGGTATGGTCATGCGATCATATCTTCACATTTTTTTACAAAATTATTCATTTGACAACTTTTCATTGTCAAAATTTATACTTATAAAGCCATTATACGCACACAAATCAAAGATGGGAATCTTTTTTCTACACAGCAAAATTTGATAATTTAATTGAAAAAAAAAATGCTAAGATGGATATGCTTATTTGAAATGACTTTACCTTCTTAATTTTACCATGAAATTTTCAAATAATTTTGCATATAATCTGGCATTTACACGAGACTAATTGTCCGAAATCAGAGTGGTGTTTTGGCTTTTTTCTGTATCATGAGTGGACCGACTTCGGTCCAATATTTAAGGAATGGTACAATAAGGAGGTAGAACAGCTTCGTAAAACTACAGAAGTACAGTCCATAGGCTATGTCCGCTTCCTGTCAAATTTCCATGAAATCAGTTAAACAGAGGGAAAATGAATTAAATGGCTGGATTTTCTTTCAAAAATATGATCTAAAAAATATTCATTTCATATTTGGAAGATATTCTGCTTTTATTTTGCAAAACAATAAATACATACACAAAATTGGCAGAAGTCGGGCACACTTAAAAAAAATTTAATTTATTGTACCATGAAATCATGTGTTAATCGTCAAAATAAAAATAAACAGGTAAAACAACATTAAGTTCGGCCGGGTCGAACTTTTAATACCTTCCACCTTAGGGTAAAGCGTGTTTCATTTTAAACTTCATATACCAGTATGACCGTTTGCACAATGCAGTTAAATTGACCAAAAACAATAAAGTGAGTGAGGCCGTTATATGGTCCCATATCAAAACGGGAACCTCTATAGGCAATTTTATACTTCAAGGATTGTCATCTATCAAATCTTCTGAAATACCAAATTTGAAATAATTATGTGGGTAAATGTAAATAGGATTATCAAAATGCCGAATAACGGTGGGTTTCGTTATATGTGCGTTATAGGAAAACGTGGAACTAAATGTGCAACGTTCTGCCAACGTGCTAGAACCGATTATGAACTACAAATACCAATTATTAGACAAATCCGTGAAAAAAGTGGCAAAATCATCAAAATACCGAATATCGCGAGGTACCGTTATATGGGGGCTATACAAAAACGTGGACATATACATACAATATTTCGCCACCGCAGCAAGAACCCATCATGACCAACGAATTCCAATTTTTATACAAGTGGCAAAAATCATCAAAATACCGAATATCGGGAGGTATAGTTCTATGGGGGCTATACCAAAACGTTTAGCTATACATACATTCTAACACCCATAATGACCTACAAATACTAGTTTTTAGACAAATCCTTGGAAAAATGTGGCAAAAATATTCAAAATACTGAATATCGGGAAGTATTGTTATATGTGTGCTATACGAAAACGTGAACCTATACATGCAATGTTCCGCCTGTGAAGCTAGAACCCATTATGACCTAAATATACCAATTTTTAGACAAATCCATGGAAAAATGTGGCGAAAATCATCAAACTTGGACCGATATCTCATTTTCAATACCAACCATCCTAGACACAATACAAATTGTTCTGCCAAATTTTTAAGGTCTACGTCAAATAATGTGGACTATATATATATAATGGAATTACAAAGTAAATATACCTTTCTTTCCAAGGTGGAGGGTATAAATTATCAGATACAGCTCAGAAATAAGTGACGAACATTTTGTCAAAATCAATTCAGATTTGGATATTGCTCCCATATATATCGTTATCCCATTTCAGGTTTATTCTGCAGCAAATAGATCAGCCCAAATGCACTGAATTGTGGCACTTTCGACGGCATTCAGCCCAGAAGCAAATAATTCGAATTTTAGTGAAAATCTATTCAGATATAGCTATAGTTCCCATATACATGTTTCATACGATTCGGCGTTAAAGTCTCTCACATGCGTAATATGCACTCCACAACAACGTTATTTGACACCGTACTACAGCCCGATATACATCTTCATCCGATTTTACGGTTATAGTCCACCATATATGTAATATAGGCCCAAATTGGATAAATTTTTGCATATCCGAATTTTTCCATTTGTTAGTGGTATAGGCCTCTCGACTATATGATGGCCTCTCTTTAATTTTGACCATTATCTTCATGTTAAATATAAATCTTGACAAGAAGATATTTTCAAATGAATAATTTTGAAAAAATTGTAGACATGGGTCGTAAAAACAAATTTAAATCCACTGAATGAAGTAAAATTTGACAATCCGTATTAGAGGCAAATGCTAGCTGGATTTTTACCCATAATTTTGTCAACCCTTGATCTCTCATTAATTTTTCGCGTTTTATTATTTATTTAAAAAAAATATATATAAATAAATAGAAAATTAAACAAAACGACTTGTCGCATATTTATGTAATTTTGAAAGTACAATCCATTCAGTCATATCTATTTTAGCACGATTTAGCCAAACTTATCTAACAAAACTGTAAGTTCGGCCGGGACGAACTTTGAGTACCCTCCGACATTTGGAACGAATTTGGCAATTCTCAAAAACAATCAAATCCGTTAAAAATTCCGTTAAAATCTTAAAAATGTCGAATGTAGCTATTACATTAGGGTCTATAAGACGACATGGAACTGCATAGGTAACTTTTGTCATAAGCCATTACAATATTCAAATGTGAATAATGTAGCTAAAATCATCAAAATACCGAATATCGGGAGGTACCGTTATATGGGGCCTATACGAATTTTTCTGTCCTTGGCTGTAGTATCGATTACGAACTTCAAATACCAAATTTGAAACAATTCCGATGAATATTGTCGCAAAAATCATCAAAATACCGAATATCGGGAGGTACCGTTATATGCACAGACAAATTTCTGTCAAATACTTCAAATACCAAATTTGAAACAATTCCGATGAATATTGTCGCAAACATCATCAAAGTACCGAATAT